TCTTTGGCAAAAACTCAAGAAAGTTAAACCATCAATCCAGCTCAGGCTGACTACAGCCTAGCAAATACTAAATTTAAATAGAAATCCCTTCTTATGGCAGGGTGGCTACACATTTGAGATCTTCCACTTGAGTTGCTTCTAGGAAGCCTAATAACCCACCATTATCCAGGTCCCCAAAGTATCTGGTGCACGTAGTTTAAACTGCTTTGAGGATGATGTTTGTTCACACTTGATAACCATGGATTGAGTAGTGTGGAGCCCCTGCTCGAAATCTTCCATGCTTTTGAAAAGTTGTAAGTTATGGCGAAGAACTGACAGGTTTCTTGAACCATATTGATCAGAAGAGGAAAATATTTTCTGTAAGGGGTGTGTATCATAGTCCTTTCAATATGTGTAGCACAACCCTCTTAGGAGTCACTGAGTTTTGGGTCCCCCTATAGCACTGAACAGCCAGGCAAAAAGCATTTTCTTCCACACTTTGCACACTGGAGCCAGCAACCAGTCCTTAAGCTTGGTGTTTTAATTTTTTTAAGGGGTTTAGAACTTGGCTGGGGTTGAGGGGTGTACGGGATGTCCAAGGAACTGCAGAAACTTGAGGTCAACTCAGAGCAACTATGTACAAAGATGTGGACAAAGAGACATTATCTCTCCTTTGAGAGCATTCAAAGCCCTTTAGTGTACTTCCTCAGACCCTAGACATATCCTCTTCTTCACCCAGCTGTACTGAAAGTATTCCCTGAGCAAGGGGACCCAGAAGCTGCCAATATAGAACAGTCCCAGATAAGAAGCTAGGTGTATTTTCCATCTAACTGCCCTCTCTACTTATCCGGCCCAGAGGATATAAGGGTACTTACATTGTCCTTCCTGCGGCTTGTTGGGTTGGTGGCTGCCTTCAGGCCTTCTGCTGGGCTGGCTCCTTTTCTGTTGCTCAGGATGTCCCTCTTAGAAGACGATGGTGCAGTGGAGATTCCTTTTCCAGTTCCCGCCTGTAGGTAGGCTCCTTCCCTGGGCCACCTCCCACTTCACACTCCAACCTTCACACCAAATTCCACCCGACACTCACTGACTCACTCCCCAGGCTCTCCCATACTTAAGGGTTGCCTTAGTCCCCATGCCCAGCCTCCTGCCAGGGGTTGGCCAGGGTCCCTCAAGTATTCAGATCTCAGACTCTTCCCCTCCTCAATCCCTCCTCCTGAAAGCTCTCATGTTTCTGGAGAGGTGGGAGAGCTCCAAAAGCTCTGATCATCAGAACCTCCCTAGCCTATCCTGAGGTAACCGCTCAACCTCACTCCCAGGCTGACTCATCCCAGTCTGCTAAGACAAAAACCCAGTCTATTTAGCTAACCTGGAGGGCATTACATATGTGTAGTCATCCTGTTCAGTTTAAGATGCTACACAGGGGTCAGAGGTGAATAGTGGTTAGTTTTATTGGGATAACGTATCTGGTTATGAGCATACATGGTTTTTAGGATCCTGGCCACTGACATGGATTAGAAGGAGAAGAGAATACTAGTGGATAGGGTCCAGAATGGTGTTTTGGGGACAGCATGGGAGGAGACTAAGTGTAAGGGAGCTTATTGCATTCAGCTCACAACTCCCTCCATTTCATTCCAGAGACAGGACTGTTGCAGCTACTCCTCTAGTGTCTGTACATTTCTCCCAGAATCTCCAGGTGGATTAGCACTTACACAGAGAATACTTAGCCTGGTCGCAAAGGCTTTTTATATCCTGCCTAGTCCACTTAGACAATGTTCTGTAGGACAGAACAACTAGTATTGTTGGTTGGTCTCACCCTGACCTTCTGCTCTGTGCAGGGCCTCTGCATTAGCTGACTACATCTGCATGCTGGTGGAGTATTTGGCTCCCATGCCGTGACTGCCCCATGCTCCTCCTGACTTGGTATACATATGAGCAATAACTCCACCCAGTAAATCACTAGAGGAAGGTTCAGCCTAAATGGGGACCTAACACCCACTTAAACAATGCCCTATTACCACACTATTCTGGGACAGAGACACCTAGTGGCAGACCAACTAACTGCACATGCTAACATGTGGCGCAAGCATTAAGAGTTGTGACTCTGGCACAGGCGATCCAGTCCAGTACCCATAACAATTCTTTCAACGTATCCATTTTCTAAAAATATTTAAACACACATTGCAATCTATTTATTTAAACAAATTTGTGCGTATGTCCGAGTATTTGCACAGCTATCACAAAAAAGTCCAAGTAATGTGTTTAACCTCCCTAGCGGTATGATTATGTTCATATTTCTGTGCTGAAAGTGGTACATTTTTTTGCATGGAAATATGTCGTTTTTTTTTATTGTAGGCTGTAATTTTTAGGAATAACTCACTGAAATCTGTCTGAACAAGAGTCTAGTAAACATCCCGGGTATGATAAAATTTGAAACACGAAATTATAATATAATAAATAATCATAAAAAATAATAATATAATAATAATAAATTTAATTCAATAATATAATCAAACCAAAAACACTGAAATTTGAAATATAGCTCCAAGTTCGCACATCGCTGAGCAAAGTCGCAAAATCGTTTTCAGTGTCTGATGACGAATTTCCCAACGAATCATTATCACTCAATTCTGCAAGTGGTTCTGATTTACTATCGCTGTTCTCTAGCTGGTCAAAAACCACTTTTGACCTAAAGGGACGCTTTTTGGATGCCATGGACATTTCTCAGTTTCCAGGCAGAAAGAACAGTCAAAATGCAGGCAGGGCACAGGACAAAGCACTCGGGACAAAATGTATGTGAAATGGTTTGAAACAGTAATGCTTAACTAAATTTTTAAATTTCCCGCCGGTTCCGGCCCCTGTACGTCCCGACGCTTGCAGGGACCTGAACACGGAAGATGGATGCCAGCATCGGCTGGAGGAGATGGCCGGGGACACTGCAGGAGGGACATCGCGGGAGCGCAGGACAAGGTAAGTGATCGAGGGAATCCCAGAGCAACGCTGCAAGGTATTCCCCACGGGGAAGCTCGGGGTTACCGCTTTTGGCACTGATAGTTAACCCCGAGCTACACTCAGGAATACCACCAGGGAGGTTAATGTGCATATTTCCTTTGATCATTAGAGCCATCCAGTGGCAATAATGCAGTATTTTGCTAATTAAGGTATTTCAGGAAAATACCATATTATGGCCACTAGACAGAGGAAATAAACATCTTAAACACAATACAGGGATTATTTGTGACTGCTGTGGTAATGTTCAGACATTCTAACAAAGATTTTTTTTTTCCTCTCTGTTTTTTGAGAACATTAACTTATATTTTAATTTTATGCATGCTGCCAAATCTGCTACGCCACTTCTGCATGTACTAATGAGAATCAATACTTAGGCCTACTGCACATAGAGCATTTGTTTAGCCACTCTGAATGCTTTTTCTCCTGGTAGGAGAAAAGCAGCTAAAAAAATCATGGCCATAGCTGCTTGTTGCATTTTACGTTTAGGCACATTTAGGCTTGTTTAGGCATGCTCAGGACCATAAAGTGCTTGAGAGTTAGTGGATTCCATCAGCCAGAATATTAATTTATCCTGGCCATTAAAAATGCAATAACGCTCAAAAGTGCTTATACATATCTAGGGCACATTTAAATGAGTATATATGCTTTTGAGCATGTCAAGCTTTTTTCTGCTCTGTTGAACGCACTTTTGATGTGTTTTCTTTCAGCCTGTAAACACTTCTCTTCTAATACACCTGTAAACGGATATGGACATATAAGCTAACACATAGTGGGTGCTTTTAGAGGCTGAAAAAGAAATACAAACACCTGTAAAAGTGGCGTTTTTTTAAGCACAGTGTGCACAAGTCATTTTGCTTAGAGTTTACAACGCATTAAAGTAAACTCCCACTGGACACTTGTACCTACAGGTAAGCTTATAATAAAGCTTACCTATAGGTACAAGGAATATATCGTAAACATGCACTGTTTAGGAGATATTCAGTGTCCCTGCAGCCAATTATATCACCTGTGCATGCGATCTGAAGCAATGGCATACCCGTGACTCCCATGCGTAGTAACCCCCAGCTATGCTGATCCTTCACTCAGTAATAGCCCCCAGCTCTGCTGATCCTTCACTCAGTAGTATCCCCCGGCTCTGCTGATTCTTCACTCAGTAGTAAAACCCAACTCTGCTGATCCTTCACTCAGTAGTAACCCCCAACTCTGCTGATCCTTCACTCAGTAGAAACCCCCAGCTCTGCTGATTCTTCACTCAGTAGTAACCCCCAATTCTGCTAATCCTTCACTCAGTAGTAACCCCCAGCTCTACTGATCGTCTTGTTTTGCTGATCCTTCTCTCTCTCTATTCCCTGCTCACCTCCTGCTGTATTGACGCCAAGCTGTGCAACATGTGTGACATCTGCTAATTTCTCCTGCGCTGGTTCCTCAGCTCTGCTGATCCCTTTCCCCTCAGTCCTCTCCCTCTGGTTCCCGCTCATCTTCCGCTATAGAGCTTCCATGTTGCACACATGTGCCGTATGATAGTTGCTCCTCCCCAATCTGGACCTTTCTAACCTTCCTGCACGTTAAACAATTCCAGAATATATACACATGAACCAGTAGTGACTACTGATGACATCTTTCCAGTTTGCTTGTTGGTTTCCCATTGCATCATGGGATATCTCAGACCTGTAATACCTACAAAAAAGTGAAGATAACTCTGAATGAAAGCCCCTCAAAAGCTGCAGGTGCTGTCAGCGTGCGCTGTGATAGATTTCTATAGAGGCTTTGGAGACGCTTTGAAGCACCAAGAAAGTGACATGGGGTATAATTTTTGAAGCAAAGAAACCCAACACATGAACAGAACTGTAAGGTAACCATTTTATTTAGTAAGAGGTGCTTTGATTGACATTGAGAGTGCTTTAAAAAGAGTGTCCAATGCCACATTTTGAAACAAGTTTAACCACCCCCCGCCCACCATATAGTAATATGACAGGCGCAAGGTGGTTCTCTCGTTCTGGGAGGACGTCATATGACATCCTCCCATTGTCACTGCGCATGCGTGGCTCAGGGAGCGCACAGCGCGGCGATCGATGGTGTGCTGTGTCCCTCGGACACAGCGGATCACCAGAAAGAGCCGAAGATGTCAGCTTGGTCATGTGATCAGCTGTGTCCAATCACAGCTGATCACATGTAAACAGGGAAATGCCGGTGACAGCTCGAGAGGAGAGGAGAGCCGGTAATCGGCTTTCCGCGGAGGGGACATGTACACTGATCATCAGGGCACTGATGATCAGTGTGCCCTGATGATCAGTGTAGCCCCAGCAGTGCCACCTGTCAGTGTCCATCAGTGCCTTATGTCAGTGCTCATCAGTGCCTCGTGCCAGTGCCCATCAGTGCCACATATCAGTGCCTACCAGTGCACATCAATGCCACATATCAGTGCCCATCTGAGCTGCCTTTCAGTGTCACCCATCAGTGCCAGTCAGTGCCACCTATCAATGCCAATCATTGCCACCTATCAGTGCTGCAAATCAATGCCACCTATCAGTGCCAGTCAGTGCTGCCTATCAGTGCACATCAGTGCCGCCTATCAGTGCCTACAAGTGCCGCCTAACAGTGAGAGTCAGTGCCGCCTATCAGTGCCAGTCAATGATGCCGCTATCAGTGCCAGTCAGTGCCACCCTATTAGTGCCAATCAGTGCCGTCTATCAGTGCTGCCAATCAGTGCCATATATCAGTGCCATGTATCAGTGCTGCCTTTCAGTGCCCATCAGTGATGCCTGTCTATGCCCATCAGTGCCACCTACCAGTGCCTCCTCATCAGTGCCCATCAGTGCCACCTATGAGTGTCCATCAGTGCAGCCTATCAGTGCCCATCAGTGCAACCTCATTAGCGTACATCAGTGAAGGAGAAAAATCATTTTATACAAAATTTTATAACAAAAACTAAGAAAAAAACTTTTTTTTTTTCAAAATTTTCAGTGGTTTTTGTTTTGTTTAAGAAAAAATAAAAAACCCCAGAGGTGATTAAATACCACCAAAATAAAGCTCTATTTGTCACAAAAAAATGATAAAAATTTCATATGGGTACAGTGTTGCATGACCGCGCAATTGTCATTCAAAGTGCAACAGCGCTGAAAGCTGGAAATTGGCCTGGGCAGGAAGGGGGTATAAGTGCCCTGTAGGCTAGTGGTTAAACAAGCCCTAAATGTGTATATTTTTTCTTTCTGTAAAACTAATTATAATGCTGGCAAATCTGCTATGCCACTTATGAAAATACCGAGAAGCAGTATATTTAGGCTTCATGCACACAAGGCATTTATCCAGCCCAGCTATGGTCATTCTCCAGTCTTTTATGCACATTTGATCCACACCACTTGCCTTTAAAACAGATGATCTGCACAGAAAGTCATCTGCTTGCAAAAAGAATGGATTCAATGTGAACTGTTGCAGATTTGACAATCATCATGGATAATCAATTCAGAAAAAAAAAAATTGTAGACATTTTGTACTGTAGCCATTGGATTATGTTGAGCGCCTCTTCCTTATTTAAATTTTTTTTTATTTAAATATGTTTTTTTTCGTTTACAGCTTTTAAGATGGTGGTAAGGAGTCTCTTCTAATGACTATAGGTAAATCCTGGTTCTGTAATCTAAATATTTGTTTTTATAACTGAATCCCTGCTTTCAGTCTGTTAAAAAAAAAAATTATAAAAGAAAAAAAAAATCTATCCATTTTTGTTCAAAAAAATGTCCATATAAGTACATTGAGGGATCAGAAGCTATAATCCAATTTATTCCATAAATCCAGTACAATACTAAAAAATGAATGGATCCTACAAAAAACACCGTAGATCTGTTTTGCCAAGTTACAGATACCAGCGTGCTATTATTTGGGAGGTAAAGGGGGTATAAATGATATTACAGTGCAAATTGAATGTAACGAAGTGCAATGATGTCAAAAAGAATTTGTCCTTCTGTTACACAATAAAGGCAGCTTGTTATGTGTGCCTTTGGAACCACTGTATAAAAAACCCTTGGGTTGCCATGGCTACTACCAAAATGAATAGACTATTTATAGCACCGTGTCATGTTTTGACTAAAAGAGAAATTCAGGATGAAAATTTTCTAACAGTTTAACAAAAGCACAACTTCGTCAAGTTTGGCATTACATGTATTTATTATATTTTTTAAATATTTTTATTGCAATATTTGTTTGAGCCAGGTAAGTACACTGGACTTTTTCATGAGATCATCTAAGAAAAATATTTTCTTACATAATTAGGATGGTCATAACCACCAATCATATTCTCTTTTTTACTTTCCTGAACTTCTCTAAGTAATTTAAAAGTGGAATATGATAGTTACAAGTAGTATTAAAGCATATCTATGCTCAAAATTTTAAATCTTTTACCCACACATTTACTTCCTTGAATTCTGTGACAGGTATGCACTATGCCCTGTGAGTAGGCACTGCTGTGTCACACATTTCACAGAACCTGCCTTCTGAGCTACAGAGGTTCTGAGAGGAGGAGTTCAGGAGGTGGAGTCAGTACAGGAATCACTGCTTGCAGGCAGCATGGTACCATGGGACATGTAGTCCTTAGAAATTAAAAGTAAACTGCAGAGGAATCCAGGAAGTTGTGTAAAGAGATGACCAGCAGACAGGCAGCACAAGTTAGTTTTTGTTGAATTGGCAAATATAACTATTGTTTGTATAATACTATTAAAATGCTGATGTTATAAAAAGTCAATTCTTTTTCAAAGACATTTGAAACCCAATGTTAATGGATTTTTTCCAGATATTGGCACCAAGAAAGCAAAGGGTTCTCAGGCAATTTTCTGCATATGCCCCACACTCCCCTGAAATGCCTATAAAGCCTCCTAGCCTTTCCCACCCCCCCGTAGAGCCAGTGTTGGCAGCAGGATTTGCATATGAAAGAGTTTCAATGGATCATTCATGCTGTTTGATCCCTGGCTTGTGACCCTGACCATTCTCTGCCTGACCCCCTGTACCTACCTGTCCGTTAGTTGCATTGTACCCGGCTCGTGACCTGACTACTCTCCGCCTGCTCCTCCTGTACCTACCTGCCCGATAGTTATCGAACGCCCGGCCTCCCTGACTACGTTTGTGCTCTATATGTGTATGTACCTGTGTATCTATATCAGTTTAGGTTTGGGTTTGTTTCACCTTGTTGTATGTATTTGTGTTAGCTTGGGGGCTTGGTGCACTGCATTTATATTTGTATTGTTAGTCTTAATAAATTGTCTTATTTATACCATATCTGAAGCTTGCGTTTCCCTGTGTCAGTCCACTCACCTCTGGTCATACCCGGAAAGCCCTGACAGTCCTGTGGCAATTTGGCCATGGAAATGTACGGTTCCTAAGAAAGCACCATCCACTATCAGGGGTGGACTGACAATTCATGGGGCCCCCGGGCATTAGGGGATCATGGGGCCCCTGTGTCCTTGCTCAAATCAAAGCACGCCCAAAAAAGCCTATAAAAAAGGTACTAGGTGCATTTCATGGGGCCCCCTACTGACCCCGGGCCCTCGGGCAATGCCAGAGTGCTCAAATGGTCAGTCCGCCCCTGTCCACTATCATATTGTGGAGAGGAGACATGTTCAGTTAAAAACATTATGCAGGGAATTTATTAAATCTAGAGCAGATACTGGAGCAGCTGTGCACAGTAACTAATTAGTTACTAGGTTCAGCAATGTCAGTTAAGCTTTGAAAATGAAAGTTAGAAGCTGATTGGTGGCCATGGACAGCTGCTCTAGATTTTTTAAATTCTCTGCTCCAGTCTTAGTAAATTCACAGAGGGTGTGCATAAGACATGGATAGACAAATGTTGGTGTATAATACAACAATCTAGCCCTCTCACCAATAGACACTAATGACCTAACTCCTCCTAGTAGAACCCCCTCATACCTTGTGTTTATAGAAGAGCACTATGATGTCAAATGAGGAAGGAAATTAATATTGGAGTTCTGAGTTCAATTTTGGTTGTCTGCTGTGGCAACTCCAGCGGTGTTGTGGAGATTCCTGGTAGAGCATAGATTATTCACCGAGAAGTGAAAACCAGCATGGTTTACAGGCATTAACTAATCAATACTAAGAAGGTGATGATGCTTCTAGGTTACCACAACTAACCAAGCACAGATGAAGATTGCTATGACAGTCTTCCTTTTCAGCTTTGTACTTGCATCTGCCAAAAAAGGTGCTCAATTATATATCTGTGTATAATATGACTTAATACAAATATTTGATATAGTAAGGCTTTTTTTAAATGTGGCATTGTATATAAAGTTCCTGCAATAGTCCCCTCTCTCAGTGGAGGGTTACCATGCATATACATTAAAATATATCAAGAATGTAACTACAATAAATCTCCTTTAAACTAAAATGAATTTTGCACTCATTGTAAAGTGACAATTAATAGTGTTTTATGTCACATTTTGCACTTTCTTCCTGCTATAATAAGAAATGTGTAATTAATCTTAAGGTTTTATAAATTTTAACAGCTTGTACAAAGAGAACCTTATAAATTTCTTAAAGATTAAAGTACATAAATATTATTGGTGTCTTCCCGTAAAGTGAACACGTAGTAGAGAAACTCTGTGCCAATTTAAATAAGGGTAATGCTACATTATCTTTGAGCAGATGGTTTAGTCTCTGATTTATTGGCTTATAT